AATATGATATAAAAAACGTAAGCTGTGCACACAAATTGGCACAAAGATTAGACAAAATTTTTAATTTTGCAGTGTGGACTTTAGATTTTGTGAAAATCGCTGTCCCATTGAAGAAGCAAAGGAAGAAATATGAAAAACATGCAAAGTTTATTGGAGGGTATGTTAAAAAAGAAACTAATAAAAGAAAAAAGCAATTCAGAGAACAAAATAAAAGAACCATATAGAATGCAATCTATAGATGGACGAACAAGTGAAATAGAAATACAAAAAGAAATAAGATATGTGGACAGGTACATTAGTGTGGCTAGATGAAAAGGATAGGGGAGAAAAAACGAATGTAACTCGAACCATAAAACTGTTAAGAGAAACAATAAATCAGAAGATAGAAATATATTAATCCGGCACATGAAAAAATGGACCTAGTGATTATAATGAATCATTTTAATTCAAATGAGCATAGAGCTTAGCCAGTGTTGCTATCGTCAGCAGTCGTGGATGCAGGATTTTGGATATCCTTGTTTATAGAACATATATCTGAATACTCGCAAAATGAAGTACTGACCGGAGTCAATTGGCCATGAATGCACGAACTCTTCCCTTTTACTGAAGCTTTAGACTCATCTAATTGTCTTCTGTCGACAAGCAGTCCATCCATAATATGGTTTTCGGCCTGTGTAATTTGGCACAAAGCTGAGGAACGCTGGCAAGGAGTACGTGAAGGGTGAAGTGTTGGTGGAGGGTGAACTTGAAGAGATGGTACAAATGAAGCAGTTCCATAAACGGGAGAATCAGGCCTCCTGACCAAACGTGATGTATTGTCGCTTGATATCCCATTGCGACTGATGGCAATGCAACCAGAGGCATCGGAACAATTTGGATGTGCGATTGGAGGTGATAAAGACGCTGATGGAGGTGGTGAAGAAGATATGGTGACTAATCGACAAAGGCTAGAGCGCTTTCGGTTGGCCGAAGTGATGATACGTGGCTTGCTGGATAAACATGGCGAAAGTCCAGGGGGAGACGAATTGGACCTAGATGAGTCTAAATCGGCAAATGACATTGCCTCAGAAGCCAAGTCCACTCGAAATTGACTATGAGGATGAGAAACTGAAGCTGGTGGCAAAAGAGAAGAATCGTGAAATTGTAGGGGAAAGAGCTCTGTAGGCCTAAAAGAGGCATCAAGATCAGATGCTGAAGTACATGATAAACGCGATAAGTGATCATCCATTATAGATGATCTTGAGTTTATATGGCCTGGTTCCATGTGATCAAACACTGATTCGCCTAAGTTCGAGACCATCGGTATGTCGTGACTGCGAAGGGGAGAAGGACTGGCAGCACCAAATCGGTTGTAGGCTGAGAAATGTGATGACGCAGCTAAAAGACAGAAACATAGAAGACAAAGAGACGAAGCTCAGCAATACATAGAAATAATTGGTTAAGGGAAAATAGTATTAGGCGATATAATCTTCCAATATAATTGAGTATATATATATATATTTAAATATAATCTACATATATATTTCACTATAATTGAGACCGCAAAATGAATCGCCGATAAATAAGTTAAAAAAATTTAAATACATCAGTGAGAATGCGTTAAAAGAATATAGATCCAATTGGAAAATACACAATCTAGTTACAGGATGGCTACTACCGGTGCCAGTAGTAATAATCATTAAATAAACCAATCTTGATCTTAGTTGGTAAACTAAGCTAAAAAGTATAGTAGTCTGACCTCCTTTCGTAATTTGGTCGTATTGTCAGGATAACATAGTTGGACACACATTATCCTAAGTGATCGGCTATAGTAGTTATGATAATTCCTAATGTTTGATCGTATATTTGGCATATTCCTAGACGTTCCGCTGGCAACATAGTCGGCATCTTCAGTGAGTCGTGCAAGTGTTAGTACCAGACTACGAGACAAAGGTAAGGTCAATCCCTTGAACAACCTTCTGCCGAAAGGTTGTGTTATCCCTGTTTCTGTTCTGGTACATTTACCTCCATATCACGACCTCTGATTTGGTTGTATTCGAATCCTCTAGAAGTGTCCCATTTTAAGGAGTTTAGTGTGGTGTTATGATACCTGCTTGCCTACCTTGCCCTTCATCTAGATTTTCAAAAATTCTTGATTCGACTCTGAACTCCTATCCCGATCTCATTTATGGCCGCAGATATTTATCTTACTAGCTAAATTATTTAACTATGTTCCAACCACAGATTAAGATTTTCTTCGAGACGCTATTTATCATGGCCTCCCACAGGCCTTTGGTGCCAAGTACACTGTGGCTTACCAAACAAGCCACAGGCTGATTCCCATGCTTACAAATATCAGACATCACCCTTACGAGCCATCTATCTGATTCAATACGAGTATCCTGACAAACTGTGGAAAATCTGTCTCTGATCTCCCGCTTTATCTCGATTGGATTGCTAGTAAAATGCCGAATTCCTGTTATGTTTGTGATCATTCGACAAAATATTCCTGTATGCGCCGCCCCCAGTTGAGGTTATTCCTTAGAGCAGACTACACTCACTAAAACGTCTCCTTTTGATTTTACAGTGTTTTG